TCTAAGTAAATAACTCACGTGTTTCATTCATAATCTTAGATATCTCCTCCCATATATTCATCCGACGCTGGTCGTCATGGTAACGTGGATCTTCTTGATTGTATAATTCAGAGTAGGATTGGACTAAATATATCAAAAGTTCTTCATTCATTTTAAAAATGACGAAAAATAGACGTAATTAATAAAGACACGCTTCCGCACCTCTGCGTCGACTGAGGCGCGCCGAGCAGAGTCGCAACGCGCCGGCGCAAAAAATCGCTCGACGAGCGATGCGCGCGAGAGATTCGGCTCGGCGCGCCGCGGCTCTTCACAGATGGACGCAATTTCTTAGTAAATATATAGGGAGCGAATTTCTGCGCTTCGATTCGATTCGACTCGGCGCGCCTAGTCGACGCCAGACTTTACATCACCATGAGACAGTATTTTTAGTTTCATACTGGTTTTAAACATACCGTTTTATTTGCTCCGCCTTACGTTTCCACTTTGTCGTATCACTTTTTCTTTTTATTGGTTTTTTTGGTTCACATTTTTCAATGTTTGATAACATTTCCTCCATTTTAAAACGGTAAAAACTAATTAAATCCCGGCATAGATCTTCACTGCCTTGGACGCAACGCCATACTGTTTTAAGCGTCACGTGATATGCATGCCGCAATGTGATTGGTTTTCGCAGTTTTAGCGGATTTTGAAACGCAACTGTGCAGTTTTAGTGGTGTTTGCAACAAACATTGATTTTTAAAGGATATATTGGGTTTTAATAACAAATGATTGCTAGATATGAAAAGGAATGCATCACAGTGTCTTTTAAAAGTATTAACAATAATTTCATGAAGAATCGTTTTAGTGGGTTTTGAAAGTAAGCCCCTGAATTCATTTTTAATAAAAAAATGCCAGAAAATTTTTATAACTTCCCTATATTTACTGTAGTCTTCAGTTTTCGATGTTCTAATTGTTATTTTGTTCAAGGTAAATTCTACTATTAATTACATGATCGAGAATTATTTTATATTAAGCATTAATATACGAATTTTATATAAAATGGAAATTGTGTGATGATCTTCGATTGTTTTATAATAATGTAATTATATAATTTCCAGATGACCAATTTGCATCACACTATTCTGAAAATCTTATACAACAAAACAAAACACCAGAAACCGCAAATGACGAGACTGATCACGTGGCAAATAATTTGTACGATTAGAAAATAGATAAACTGTTAAGTATTTGGCAAAGACATTTAAGTATGTAGTAGTAATAGACCGAACATCAGCAACAAAATTGTCGATCTGTAACTTTTGTCCTATAGAATATATCTCCGATTTTTGTCATTTAGTGTAAGTGACATCACCGAAAAGACGCATTCGTTTCATAAATTTAAAAAATATTTTAAAGAAAATATGCCCGGTTGTGCATTAAAGTATAGTAGGTCACGATATGGAGCAAACAATGAAGATGATTTCGGTTTATTATCCTAAGAATAAAGTATATTTACCAAATTATTTTTAAATTTTATTATTTCTGGTAGATTGTTCTAGAAGAAAGAAAAATTATTATAATAGCGGCCACCGACTCCGAATTTCTATAGTAATTTTTTAAGATTTACAGACTTTTTCGTTTGTGTACTTCACCATAATGAAAAGGTTATGTCTATTGAATAAACTGACAGTGATAGTTCGATGTTAAGTGAAAAGATGCGTTCACAAACTAAATTCAAAATTGTCAAGTCCCTATTGGAAAACCCCTTACATGCGTAAACCAGATTGTTTTTATTCCCCAGGTAACAAAAAGTGTTAAAACTTAAGAAAGCTGTTTATGGTTTAAAGCAGGCCTCAACAGCTTGGAATAAAAAGTTAGATAATTGTTTGCTTGAATATGGCTATAAAAAACCAAAGCTATAACCATATATGTATACAAAAATGAATGAAAATTGTTAAACCATTGTAACAGTTTATGTAGATGATTCCTTCATATTTTCTAACGATAAAAAGGAATGTACTGATCTCAAGGAAATGTTGTTAAGTGGGTTTACAATAAAAGACTCAGGACAAGTGAAACTATGCCTAGAGATGAATGTAAAATTTGATAGGTTGAAAGGATCTCTCACCTTCAAGTCAAGAACATTATATTGATAGTGTGTTGCATAAATTTAACTTGACAGATTGTAAAACTTTCGATACTCCAATGGAACATAAATTGAATGTAAATATAGGTCAAACTGTAAATAGTAAAGTACCTTTTCAACAGCTTATAAGTAGCCTAATGTACTTTATCTGTCTTAACCAGACTAGATGTAACATATTCAGTTAGTTATCTAAGGGCCGGTTTTTTTGATCCGTAGCTAAGGCGACCAATGGTTAAAAATAACGACCAATGGTTAAATTTTTGTAAAATCCGTTTTTTGACCCATAGTTAGCACAACCAGTGGTTAAATAAGTAACTATTGGTCACAAAATTTAACCACAGCTCCAACAAGGGATTAGCAAGATGGCGGCTAGTTAACTCTCGCATTATCAGCTGTTCTCACTTCTCAGTGTTGTTTGCTCGTGTGATTTTAGTGTGGATTTTAGTGAAAAGTGTTACAATACAGATTTTCTGTGTTATTAATTATGAATTTAAACATAACGAGATACTTCGACATTTCAGAAAGTTCATCTGATGATGAAATTGTTGCGGAATATGTTTTAATGAGAAGACCAAAGGTATTCAGACCACGTAATCCGCCCCTGGGGCATTGGGACGAAGTAGACTTTTGTCAGCGCTACCGTCTATCTAAAGAAAGTGTAATTTGGATCATCAGAAACATAGGAGACGAGTTAAAAAGACCAACTGAAAGAAATTATGCAGTTACGCCAATGGAGCAATTATTGCTTACTTTAAGATTTTATGCCACTGGGAATATGCAACAATGTTCCGGTGATCTGTCTGGTGTCTCAAAATCCACTGCCTGCAAAATAATTCATGCTGTATCAAGGCACATTTGCTTAAAATTAAAATATTTTATTGCAATGCCTCAGACGGCTGGAGATGTCGTTGAAAGTTTTTTCAATATAGCAAAATTCCCAAGTGTTGTTGGTGCAATAGATTGTACCCATATACGTATTGCAAGCCCAGGTGGAGATAATGCGGAATTGTATAGGAACAGAAAAGATGTGTTTTCTATAAATACTCAAGCCACCGTCGATTCAAAACAAAAAATTAGAAATTTAGTTGCTAGATGGCCGGGTTCAGTACACGACAGTACAATTTTTAATAGCAGTGCAGCCAAAGATTTAATGATATCTCAAAAGTTTGGCAGATGCTGTCTTTTAGGAGATAGAGGCTATGCCTTAAAAAAGTATTTGCTGACTCCTTTGGCCAACCCACAAACTGAGGCTGAGAGGCTGTACAATGAAAGCCATATACGAACAAGGAATGTGGTTGAAAGGACATTTGGTGTGTGGAAGAGGAGGTTTCCTTGTATAGGCACAAAATTGCGAGTGAAATTGGAGAATGTGCAAGCTATAATAGTGAGCACAGCAATTCTTCATAACATATGTGTAGACCGAAATGATGCTTTACTCGATGACTCTACCAGTAACCTAAACATCATTTTGGATGAAAACATTAATACAACATCACCTCCATCGACTCAAAGTGATCAGCAATATCGGCAAGAATTAATTGATACATACTTTGTTTCTTTGCTCAACTCAGAATAAATGTTATATACATGATACATGTAAAGGAATGTATGTTATAAAATACATATAGAAATAAAACATATTTTAAAAATAATATCGTTTTTTAATCACAATCATAACTTACCTAAACTTATATTACATTACATTACACTATACCATATACTACTTTGCTTATATTATTAATATTAAATAACTAATAGTGACTATTGTTCTGAAATACAGCTGCATTTCTTAATTTTTAAAATTTCTAATTTAACTTTTTCCAAAAGTAATTCTTGTATATTTTTCTTAAATACTACTTCGAGCTCATGCATTTCCTTTTGTTGTTCCATGTACAAAGCGTGCTTTTGTTCCATGAATTCTATTTCTCTTTTATATTTATCTGCTTTATGTGTAATATTTTGCTGGTGCTCTTCTTGTGCATATTTTTTTATTTGCTCTTCCCTGCTCTTTTTTTCGGTTAAAAACTCTTTTTTCTCTTCAAAATGAGTTACGATACGTTTTCTGGCTTCAAAAGGAGTATAACATTTCTTTCTTTTGTTGTGAGGACTCGCTGTAAACAAAGAAACTATGAAAAGAATGTTATTTAAAATCAAATTACATCAGTCCCATTTTTGCTAAACCCTTTTAGAGACAATGTTATACTTTTATTTTTATACTGTACCTATGCTTTATATTGCAATAAATTTTATGAAACTTTATAAATGGAATAAACTTTTAATATTTATTAATAATAGACACAATGGGCTACTTTTTATACAAACATAAAATAAGATAAGCAAAGAAATTTTTCACAAATTACAGATCAAATCAATTATGATTGATTTAATTTTGACCTTGTGATTTTATAAATTAATTCATCTCTGTTTATAATAATAATTATTATGAATGTTTCCATTCACACAGTGCAGGGGACACTAGGATTCCCTGTGTTTCACTGTGTGTGAGGGTGGTAGCCATGTACATATAACCTGGACCCGAGTACAAAACAATTATCTGCCTCGGTTGGGATTGAACTCGAGACCCTCAGTATGATGTGGTACAGCTGCTAGTATTTGATACTTACATAATTGCTTTGAAATTGGTTTCCTGAGCAAAGCCTTTGGTGTAGAGTTGTCAAACGTTATATCAACCTTTTTTGAGTCTGCATCTGAAAGGCATGGATAGAAATAATGTTAGGTATCCCCAAGCAAAACTTGTGATGAACACTAATAACAATAAATTGTAATAGTTAAAAAAGTTCATGCTAGTAATCCTGAAGGTCCTGATCAGGACATTCAAAGATTCTGATACATAAATCCATAGATAAGTACCAAGTTAATAAGTAATAAACAAATCTGTCTCAATATCATCCAATACTTCTGTGTTTAACAAATTGTTGCACTCATTTAAGGAAGTATTTGCAGTACCACCTAAAATAAAAATATAGTTAATATTCTGAAAATAATATGCAATATATTTATATTAAATACATTTAACCTCACCTGCATCGGACATTTCGTTTTCCATTAAATCTAGAGATATGGTGCATTCTGCTGTGTTTGACATTTCAAGCGTTGTGTCACCATCAACTGTAAAACAAAGGTATTATTTAATGAGTTAATTGTTGTTCATGATTGAAATGTATTGTTTTTATGTCATTTTAAAATAATCTGCTATATCCAAATCCACATTATTATCTAATAAACTATCAAAACTGAAAAGCCAGGACTGAAAATTGGTATGATGTTGAGTCTATATTTTTCCAGGAGCTTATGTCGTAGTATAGTTGCATCAATGCAATAGACAAACACTCAAAACAATTATAATATTATTATCATAATATAATCTCAAAAACAATAAGAGAAGTAGGTACATCATACCTAAAGCATCACTGTCATATATAGCGGGTAAGCCAGAAATTGACTCGCCCATAATGGTGTTTAACCATTCTGTTGTCTCTGATGGTTTAGGGGGTGGTGGTCCACCTCCAGTTTGTTTCCTACCATTTTTCTCTGCACTCATTTCCTGTAAATAAAGCATAATAATTATAGTACCTAAGCATAATTAAATTCCATCTTTTAGCTTATTTTGAAGATAAAGGCAACTTACTTTTCTGGCTATTTTTTTCATATTGTTAAATTTTTGTTGTAGTTGCTTAACATTTCTGTAAACAACAGCGTCCGAATTAAACTTTTCTGCTAGAGATCGCCACGCTGCATCTTTTTGCTGGTTACTCGCGTGATCAGTTCTTTTGCTTGTAATTATCGAATAATCCTTGAGGAGGCATGTCAGTTTTACAGTCTCTTCTTTACTAAAATTGGTTGTACGATCTCTGAAACATAGGGTTAAAGAAAATTACTTAATACTTTTTGTTTACTACTCTCCTGATTATAGCATTACAATAAAACAAATGTTAAGACTTACTTGCTAGTTCCTGTTTTTTGCGATGCCATCATATTCGAATTTGCTATATATTCTGTACTTTTTCGTCACGATGTTAAAAATACCACGAGGCACAAATCACGATTTAATTAAGTACCGTTTTTTTGTGATAAAGAATCTTTATTACAAAATAATGACAATGACAACTTTGACACTAATAACAAGTACGATAAACGTCAAATGCGTCAGGCGTAGACAGTCTTGCCATGCAAAAATAATTACTCCCTACTGAAATTGGGGTCATTTAACACTCATTACAATGGCAACATATTTAACCAATGGTTAACATTACCAATAGTCAAAAAGAGATCAAAAAACAAACTCTTGCTTTAACTAGTGGTTAGCTTCTAACCTTTGGTCAGTTTAACAAATAGTCAACGTAACTTTGACTACGGATCAAAAAACCGGCCCTAAGTCAATGTAATGATTGTTATACAGATGAGCATTGGGGTTACGCAAAGAGAGTGTTGAAATATTTGAAAAAGGATAAATCTTATGGTATTAAGTATTGTAATAATGGAATTTTCAATACAGAAGGTTTTGTGGATGCCGATTGGGCAAACAATACATAGGCGGTCTTATACTGGATTTTGTTTCTTATTGTCTAATGGTGTCATATCTTGGGAATGTAGGAAACAAAAGACTGTAGCCCTATCAAGTTGTGAAGCTGAGTATATAGGAATATCTGAAGCTTGTAAAGAAGCAATATACTTAAGGTCTTTGCAATTTGAAATAACTAATAAAATGTACACTTTAACATTATATAATGACAATCAGAGTGTACAGAACCTGTCGACGAATCCAGTATTTCACAACAAATCTAAACACATAGATGTGAAATATCATTTTATTAGAGAATGTGTTTCAAATAATATAGTAAATTTGCAATACTTTCCAACAAAAGACATTCCTGCTGATTTGCTAACAAAAAGTCTATGTGCGAAAAAACATTATATTGTTGCGCGCCTAAGTTGACGTCTGGTACCTGGCACTAGCGCCATCTAGTGTTGGGGAACAGAGCGAGGAGAGCTTTCCAGAAAATGCCATGCTGGAACTTTCCACCTCCAGCGCCATCGAGTATCGAATGGAAGAACTAATCTTTTTGGAAAACTCCACACTCGAACTTATTGCACCTGGTCGGTCGGGGCTTTGTATTTGCTGGAATATTCTGAATGTTTCGGTTGAAAAGGCCTATTTAAAGCCGTTGAGGGCCGCGACTGGCGCAGTATTGAATTGGCTATCCAAGCGAAGCTTCGGAGCGAAAGGAACTGAACTAAAGTGATAAGTGTGATTAATTATTAGTGGATTTAAGTTTTAATTGGTGTTCAGTAATTAAAGTGTCAATTTTGGTAATTCAATCGGCAGTTTTTGCTGTCACGAACCTTAAGCTCATAACAATATGTTTATGAAAATATTAGGTGTTGTTAATGTGTGAAATGTTTATATGAATATTTGAGATAGTGGTAGTGTTAAAATGTATCTAAAATAATCATTCATATACAATGTAGTGACCTCCGTTGTAATAATTTGTAAACTCTTTTCTATATTATCTGTGTTATACTTTTTGCTTTATTATCTGTGTCATGTCTGTAAAAATATAGTTTTTTGTTGTTTCACAAGGCGGTCGTTTTATTGGAAAGTGGACGTGTACATCTTTTTTAAAAATAATTCCCTTAATAGTGACTAATTAAAATTGAACTTTGTGCCTACCCAGTTAAGAGTTTTTACTGTACGGTGTAACATTACCACTCATCAGTATTACTACTTGTGTTTATCAAGTTCTTGCATCGCATCTGTGAATTGCAACTGAAGTGCACCCGCACCTCACCCCTCAAGACTAAGCGAAAGTGTAATATCTCTGTCTTATCACTCCTGCCTCATATCGCAAGTATATTGTGCGTAATGTCCAAATTGCAGAGAACTCCACCTAAGTGCCCATCAAACCCAGACGTAAGTCTAACTACATCGGATGCCAATTATGTGAATACACTTAAGCGTTTCACTCTAGGGTATGACTCGGAATTTCTGTCCACACTGATTGACGACGACATTTTAATACATTAGACTACATTAGATACACACTACGTTATAGAGTATAAGAGATAGCGAATATAATAGAAATTAAGGAAACTATTACAAATGTAGTTACCTCCACGATTTCCAACGAATTGGCTTAAATATCCCACTCATTATCAAGCCCAAACACAACCATATAGCTGCGAGATGAGAACATTAATTTAAAATAAGGTATTACGGATTTAAACAATCATCTGTCGGAGGCCGATACTATTTTATCATATTTTAATGAGCAGTCATTATGAATATTGGCGTGCTAATAAACCAGCAAATCCAACCATCTGACATCATCTTGGCCCATCGGGTTCCTCATGTTGGTGAAAATGATAAACCACCTAAAAATGCTGTTATAAAATTTAAGTCCAAAAGGGGATAATCATTTTTGAGCCCACTAGAAATATTAACGTCGTTTAATGGTATTTACACCAAAAAGACACCAAATTATAATAGTAAGTGGCCTATAGATTTTTCGAAAATGTAAACGGAATCAAGAAATCTGAAAAAAAAATTAGTTGTTTTGATATTCGTGTTCTGATCATTGGCTAACGAAACGTAATATTTAAAAAATTATTATCTTAGAGATGTGCCGTGATAACTCGCAAAAAAATCGACTAGTGTTGAAATTCAGGTAACTCTATTTTGAGCTCGAGTTACGCAATTCAAATTAGCTGAACTAAGCTGTGTCAATTTGTCACAAATTATTTTTATAATTGTTCTTACATACAACACAATTAATATTACAACTGCTGTTAACTCGGTAACTCGGTAAAATTTATTTTCTATCGATTATCGTGTTGTACAAATTCAGTCGATTCACTCGAGTGAAATACAACATAGTTGGAGTCGCATCATAATGGTTAGAACAAAATGAAGTTTTTTTATTTAAAAAGCATTACTAGACTAATGTTTAAGAAAATGTGGATATTATCAATTATCCGTAAGGTTAGCCAAATATTAATTGACACAAGTACGTATGTTTTTCTCTTTTTATTTTTTGTGGTATAATTCGCAAATAAAACTGACGAGTTTAGGTTAATTAATATGATAGTTTATTAATTTACACCTATTCTAGGTTGTGATAATCTATTATTAAGTTTGTAGATTTTACCTAAAACAAATACAAATAACAAACAGGTCTTAGAACCTTATTAGTTTGTTAAAAGTGACAAAGTATTAAGTTTATGTTATTAGTAAAATCTAAATTAAATAATAAATAGAATAAATGCACAAAAGGAGTTATTATAATGTTAAAAGAAAATTAGAATCTTTGGGTCGAGGGACTTAAAGAGGGTTTTGAAGAGCAATTCATATAACTGCATTTGTGTACAAATAGGTACCTTATGTATTCAGCAAGTTTCTTAATAAATGGCTTTTTTATTAAGCCAGACACGGATCCTGGATTTATACCAGCCATAGTAGATAGGCAATATAAATGGTACATATATTTATGTGTAAAAATGTAGTAATTATTTGTACTAGAAGCAAATATAAAATTTAATAATAATAGTTTGCATAAAAAAAGTGCAATGGTTGTATCTATTATGCTTAGATAGCTGTGTTGTTCACTCTGCAGAAAGGAATATTATTTTGTCATCTAGAATCAGATATACTTAATATAACAATAATATCTTTGTCTCCTATGTACATGAAACCAGTGAAAATAAAATGTGAGAAACTTTTATTGCTATCATTGATGTTAATCAATAATTACTGATTCTGTATTTGATCAGCTGGAGCTGATTAATGCTGAATAAAGGTGAACGCACATATGTCAGCAACGTACGCGCCGCACGCACCGAACGCGCCGCATTTCCTGATAGCCTCGCACATTCGCGCAGTACGCGTCGTACGCGCCGTACATGCCGTAAGCAAATCTTTGGTATTGCAAAAAATTTTTACTGTTTTTTACCCTTGGTGTGAAACGGTACAGTGAGTGATATTGTGACATTGAGCTATGGAAGAAATTGTTGTAATAGCCTGCTTATTGGCAGAGGAAGAAGAAAATGAAATTCGAAGAAATAGAAGATTCTGGATTCACAACATTAATTTTAAAAGGCACTTGTATGGAGAATAACATACGTTATTTCCAGACTTAGTAGATGATGATCAACGATTTTTCAGATATATGCATTTGACATACAAGAAATTTCAAGAATTACTACATATTCTAAAACCACATCTTCCTATACAACATTCAAGATTTAGAAGGGTTATCGGACCGGAGGAAAGACTTGTTGTATGTTTAAGGTACTATTTATTGATAAGTTTTATTGAGAAATTAGTACTCAGGTATAATTTAGAAAAGAACACGAATCAGCAAGTAGTAATTTTAAAACTTATTTAAATACTACGTATTTCTTTAGTTCTTCATCCACCTCACAGCTATCATTATCATAGGATGCATTGAGAACCTGGTCGTTTAATATCGTTATCTGATGTGTAGGAAGTATTGGTCTCATTACTTGACGCGGAATCGTCAGAGTAATATTTGAATGCAGAATTTCTTCGTTCGTAATACGAGACTCTTCATTCGTAATACGAGACTCTTCATTTGTCATAGTCGAAGTTGTCGGTGTAATACTTGAATGTATAGTCTCTGTATTTGTATGATGAGACACTCCAGATGTGACAGTCGATGTGGTCGGTGCAATATGTGGTCGTACAGTTTTAGCATTTGAGAAATGAGACACTGCAGGTGTGATAGCTGAGGTGGTCGGAAATGTATGAAGTTTGTTGTCGATAGCGAATTTCTTTATTGGTGAAATGAGGCTGTCCAGATATAGTGGATTCAACGATTGTAGTATTTTGTACTGGATTTAGCGGCAAGGTAAAGAGGTCCATTACAGGGGAGTGAACCGTTTCAATAGGTACAGAAGTAGCATCCTTTTCATTTAGCGTTTCCAGTTCTGCATTATGCACTAATTGAAAGAGTTTACCT